GAAACCTGTGAAACCACGAAACCTATGAAACCATGAAACTTATGAAACCACGAAACCTGTGAAACCACGAAACCTGGGAAACCACGAAACCTATGAAACCATGAAACCTTTGAAACCACGAAACCTGTGAAACCACGAAACTTATGAAACCATGAAACTTATGAAACCACAAAACCTGTGAAACCACAAAACCTATGAAATCATGAAACTTATGAAACCACGAAACCTGTGAAACCATGAAACTTATGATACCAGGAAACTCGTGAAACCACAAAACCATGAAACCTATGAACGCTATGAAACCATGAAACTTGTGAAACCATGAAACCTATGAAACCTATGAAAACCAATGAAACCTATGAAACCATGAACCCTATGAGACCATGAACCCTATGAAACCATGAAACCTGTGAAACCACGAAACCTATGACACTGCAAAACCTCTGAAACCTCAAAACCTATGAAACCACGAAACCTATCAAACCTATGAATCAATGAAACCACCTATGAAACCATGAAACCAGGAAACCATGAAACTTACTTTAATACACATGTCGCAATTAGCTTTTTAATTTGCATATATTCGTGATCCGTAACACTAAGTTGTAACCGGTATTATTAAACACCAGAGATACATGTGGTGTAGTTTAAAATGAATTTCAGGTCAATGAATTTTAACTGGATTGATTTGTTTTTTCCTTTGTTCCAGATTTATTACCATGATAGTAAGGAAATGCGATTTAAACTATTTAAAAATCAGTTTGATCTGAAATTTGTTTTAAACCATAACACATGCACTCCAAGAACAACTAATAAGATTTGATAGTTTGGTTTTACTAATTGTTTTGATCAAGGATACTTTCCACAAAGATGTTGAACACCTACAAGTGGGTAAGTCTTTTCCAGAGGTATCATTGAGCCAGAGATCAAATCAAAGATTGTCTGGTGGTGGAAAACTGCCTCAACCATATAGAAATAATCCTGATACGCCTGAGATGCTTCTCTCCCTGCCAATGCCTCTATCAAATTACCCTGCTTTACAAAATCATAAGCCTGATGGATGCTGACAGATGCCAATGCCTTTCACATTTTTGAAGTTATTGCACCCAGCAGGAATACACATTTGCCAGAACTGTCTCCTGTTGAGTTTCAGGCCGTCCAGGATTTCAGTGAGGGAAAAACATTCTCCTTCTCTTCTTATTGAGGCCTTGACCACTACCTACATTAACAGAAAACTTTGTTTGATACTGTTACTACAGAAAATAGAAACCACATACTTTGTTTTCTTTTTTGTCTCAGCAACAGGCTTAACATATAACGATAACGATAATCACGATAATGATAATAATAACAGTAGTAAATTTTAGTTAAGTGTCAAAAAACCATTGTCGAGGGGGAAGTACAAATTATTTTATTACCAGAGGATAAAATTACTTTAAACCACATTATAAAATACTAGTAATAACCAAAGGTTAGAAAGTGCAGGGTTCGTATGCGTCTTGAAAACCCTTGAAAACCCTTGAATTTCAGATGTCCGATTTCAAGGTCTTGAAAGTACTTGAAATTGATTTTGGTCCTTGAAAGTCCTTGATTTTTTATTGAAGAAGATCGAGAAATAGTAATACCTTAAGGTTTTAAAGTAAATTAAGGAGGTTTGAAAGGGTTTTCCGCGATTAACAGTGCGTGTCCAATGAAGAAAGATTACAACACTGTTATCCCTATCAGAAGAGCAATGTTTTGTCATCTGAATAAAACTATTATCGCATAATTTTTTAAGGGGGTTTGCAATGTCCCAACGGTTGCCATGGCAACGGTACAGTGCTGCAAAAGGACCCTTTGAAACTCAGTTTTTCAAAAATAATTTAAAAACCAATTCGGTGACCTAGAATTTTTTTTCTCAATTTTTGAAAACTCCATCAAAATTAAATTCTCTAGTCTAACACGTGATATGAGAAAAAGCTATCAAGTAAAACTTGATTTATTTATAAAAGAGCTGTAGGATGCATGTCGAAAAAAAATTCCACCAGATAGTTTTCTTTAAAGTTTCTTAACGAATGCGAAATAACGCAGGTTTTTTTCAAGCAAAAAATCAGGGTACGTCACCGAGCTAACTTTCGTGATGTCAGATCACCGAATTAAACAAGCTTTATTTCCGGTTTCCACTATTTTAGCACACATTTCTATTTCCGGTGACCCGTTTTGAACAATGCCGCTGACTCAAGGGCTCATCCTCGCGAAGAGACAAGCTTCGCACGTTCTTACTCAGAGAACGAGAGTATTTGGCATCGTTCTGTGGAGTTAAACATTCCAGAAGATAATCAATACTTAAGATTCATACTGCTAACCGTTACGACTTTTGGAAATGTCGAAGTATCACGGCGAGAATTCTCTTGTTGGCTGTCACTATTTTGGAAACCGATTCTGCACGACACGTCGAGTTGGTGGTTGGCGCCAAAGCAAGTACTCCATACAATTTGTTCAGGCCATATTTATCGTAAGG